ACACACACACATATATATGTATATAGATGAAAAACAGGATCATACAACAACAAATCTCTGCTTGGATACAAATCTGAATTTTACATTTTAAAATAAGTTGTGTGGAATAAAAGAGATGCCGACCTAATACAGAAGTCCATAACAAACCTGAAATCCTGGATAATGACTAGAAGTTAAGTACTTACCCTTGATCTTAGCCAAAAGGATGAGAAGTAATAGAACTTAAACATCTTACCAGACACATTTTAAATAATATAATCATGTGCCACTCCTATTTTTATACTTCAAAATGAAACAAAGTGTACCAATATTTAAAAACAAAAAATGCAACTTAATTTTATAATCATTAAACAACCAAAGCCATTCATTTACCTGATGAACTAGAACGACTTCCCATGCTGCTAACTTCTTTATCATAGCTTCCATTCTCAATCTGATCTAATCTTCTTCGTGCTACAGGAAAAAGAAATGGATTACTTACACAGCAATTATCATGACCATTTGCCCTACCATCATGATTTTTAGTTGTTAAAATTACTTAGCAAGATAGCTCACAGGATTAAGCATCTATTTAGGCAAACACAGGGGCTAGAGATTGAACCCTGGTCCTGCCCCCAGGTGCACTGACCAGGCCAACCGAGACTGGGCATGGTGGTGCACATCTGTAATCCCCGTGCTGGGGAGGATGAAAACAGGAGGATCACTATGAGTCCGAGATGCACAATGAGACTGTACCAAATACATTAAAGAAAAAAAAAAAAAAAAAGAAAGCAACAGAGTGAATTCAAATACGCATGACTAGATTATGTGACATAAAATTACTTAACCAAAAATCACACAGAAAAATGAGAAGGTAGCCAGGCGTGGTGGTGCACGCCTGTAATCCCAGCACTCAGGAAGCTGAGGTAGGAGGATTGTTAGAGAGGGACCAGCCTGGGCTACAAAGTGAGCTCAAGGCCAGCCTGAACTGCACGGCAAGACCTTGTCTCAAAAAGACAAAAAGAGAAAAAAGAAAAGAAAATGAGAAAGTTCCTGCATACATATCTGAGCTAGAAGACTGTAGGCACATTTATATAAAATAACATATAAAAATGCATAGTCAAATATAAAGAAATTACATTCGGATAACTGAACTTAAATTTTAGAGTCCTGATTTAGAAGATCCTTTTAATATAAGAAATTTCTCTTCATTTATGCTTACATATAAAAACCAAATCCTTACAGCAAATAGCTGAATATAGTCATACTAAATTATGCTAAGTAATTGATATCACTATACCTCACCATATTTTAACACATATAAAATAGTAGAGAATGGAAAGGTGGAATTGTGCAAATATTCATGAATTTTTCAATGAAAGATACCTGAGACCAGGGAGATAGCTCAGTAGAATAAGTGCTTGCCTGGCAAGCACAAGGGCCTGAGTTCAATCCCCAGTTCTGCCAAAGAAGAAAAGAAACCTGGGCTCCAATCCTATTTGTCAACTATTACGGTCACGTATTCGGTAACTATTCTGGGTCTGTTTCCTGAGAGCTAGGTAAGGGAAGTCTCTATGATTTCCAAGACAGAGGTATGCATAGCAGGGCCCAGGTACCCTAAACACTGCACAAATCAATTCTTAGGCATGTGCAGGGAGAAAATAATGGAATGGGCTTTTATGCTTATATTTAAAGACACATCTTTCAAAATTAAATTTTTATTTTCCTTTTAGAGAGGGAAGGGAGTAGTACTGGGAACTGAATCCAGAGCCTTTGCACTGAGCTATATCAATAATCAGCCCTTTTTGTTCTATTTAGCAATCTGATCTATGAAAATTGATATATGAAAAGAACAGGCAGCTAATCAATTGGTAGAACCTGAAATAAAATGTATTGTTCTTAGTAAAATTTTTAATGAGTAAAAGAAACAAACTCATTCAAGGCCTAAGTGGAAGAATTTGATACCTTGCTGCAGTTGTTTAGTAAGATCCTTGATGTTAGAGGCTTGCTTGCGTCTTTGAGTTACCAGGTCATCTTTCAGCTCTTCTACCTGGGTACTCAATGCTTTAACTTCTGTTTGTTTACATGTAAGTTCAGTTTTCAAAGTCTGGACTTCCTCTTTTCGCAGTTCTTCTTCTTTAAGCAATTTACTTTCCTGAATATTACGTATGATCAAAAACAACTAATTTTGATATTTATTTTATTTCTTACAGTTTAAAACTAAAAATAAAAAGTTCTGAAGAGCAGAAATTCATTTATTATCACATCAGGTTTGTTCACTTAATTCGCCTAAATTCTCATATGGGGGACACATTAATAACTGCGTCACCTAACATGTGTGAGACAAGATGCAGTACAAGGCTCTAAACTTCCAGAGTTTTAATGTCAAATTATTTTTTAAAGTAACTTGAAGACACTTATAACTTGAAACTATTAAAATACTTAAAAATCCAGAAATTTAGATTATTTCAGGTAGGAACAATAGAAATCATAGTATTCTTATTTTTAAAGTGAAATACTCTATCATTTTAAGGAGAAATTTCAGGTAATCCTACAGTTAGAAGAAAAAATTAACATTTTTACAGCGTTTGATATCAGAAAGTGCGAAGAAAGAAACTTAAATTAATTACAACTACACTTGATGTTGTTAGGGAAATTTATGATTCTTGCTGTGTGGTTTCAAAAGTTAAGTGGACATTTATACTTACCAAATTAAAGTTTGTTTGTTTCATTTGTTCACACTGGCTTTGTAACTGACTTTCGCTACAAGAAAGCTTATCAAGTTGGGACTGTAGAGAATTGGATTCAGACTGCAGCTGTGCGTTCTTACTAGTAAGCTTTTCTGTAAACAGCAGTAGCTCTGATTCTCTTTTCCTACTGCCTTCGATGTCTTTTTGCAGGTCATTAATCAAAGAATTAAGACTTTCCACTTCTTCCTTCAAATTTTCAATTTCTTGTTTACTTCTAAAAAACAAAGCTTATATTAAAAAATTATACTAAAAAGATATTAATTTCGTATTTTTCATTGGGTAAAATGTTTTCTAAAGTTACTTTTATTCATTTACCCAAGTATTTATGAATGCCCTACCATATGATTAGAACAAAGACCCAGGAATATAAGTAAGCAAGGTTAACGAACATTGACCCTGCTTGTAAAGAGCTTTTAATCAAGTAGAAAAATTACAACTATGATAAACATTTCTGATGATGAAAACAGTGGAGGTCATCTAAACTTATCTAAAATGATGCTCAAGTTAATGCTTAAATCTAGTAGATGGCATAACCTTTTCCTCTAAGAAGCCAGAGAGTGAATAAATTAAGCTTCTAGACCATATGGATTTTGCTACAATAGTTCCACTTTGCTACTGCAGGACGAAAGCAGCCACAGACAATACAAGAACAAGTATGGCTATGTTCCAAAAAACATACAAAAAGAAGCAGTGGACTACAGTAGGCCTGAGGGCCATAACTTGGTGATCCACAACCTAAAGGAAAAGCAGCAATTAGAGAACAAAATATGTTCTGGGTAGTGAGAATAGTATGTGCTAAAAAGCAAGGAAGGGAATAGGAGCAGAACGTTTTGTTCATAATAACAGGCATTCAGTATTGATAACAAGGACTGTACTAGATACAAAAGCACTTAACGTAAGGTTTGCCAAGATCCATAAACATTCTATTAATCAAAACACAAGAGAGAGAGGAGAAGGAGAACGAATAAAAGAAGTGAGAGACGGGTCATCAATTTTTAAAGCCATGTTAAGACATTTGAACTCACTAGGCGATCTTTGAGGCAATGGGAAATCATTAAAAGGCATGGAGAAAATGTCCTTTTTAAAAAGATTATATTAATGATAGTGTAAAAAATGGCCCAGAGATAAAGCAAGCAGAATAACTAGTTTATGAGCTGGGGCAGTTTTCCAGACAAGAGCTGACAATGGCTTGGAGTGGACTATGGCAGTGGCAGTGGGGATGTAAAAAGTGAGTGGATGCAAACAATATGCAGAGCTGGTGTCAGTAACATTTTGTAACTGGCGAGCGTGTGAGAGGAAGGAGGGAAGAGCCAAGGACGGCACCCAGCTTCCTCAGCGGGACAGTCCTGTGTAGTCCTGTGCACACTCGTCCCTCACCCGAGGAACAGGAGAGGAAGAGTGCATCTGTAGGCAGGAAAAGGGAATCCACTTTGGACATGCTGAAGTTTCAAGTATTTTTGGTACTTGTGTGCCTGAAGCTAAGCAAAAGGACAAGGACAATGACTCAAAGGACCTGCAGCACGTTAGGGGAGTAACTGGCATCTTCAGGGTGATAAAATCACTCAATGATACAATTCAAGTAGAAGAGTACGGACAGAAAGACGTTCACCACCCCGGTTCCGCCAAAAAAAAAAAAAAAGAAAGATATTCACCAATGCAAGAGTGGCTAGGAAAGTGGCGGGAACAGGAGAAACTGATGGAAACAAGCCAAGCCTTAGGGAGGCTGAGGCAAGGCAATTGCCATGAGCTAAAGACCTGGGTTACATGGTGAGTTCAAAGCCAACCTAAATTGTATAGTGAGCCCCCGTTTCAAAAAGGTCATATGGCATTATCATAATTGTTATGCTAAGATGCTATGTTTGCTCTTGTTTTAACATTTTCCTAGTAAACCACTGTAACTATTATCTGTTAACATTCCATAGGAATTTGACATCTAAGACAGCCAAGATTAGCTTAAAAATATAACATTTTTCTGGATAGACTTTATATTTCAAAGTAATTGATATCCAGATGAGATTATAATAGCTAAACTTAGCATTCCCACTTCAGTATTGGTGTAACTGACCTTCTGGATGTTCAACAATTAAGGTTTCGAGAACACAGTTAGAAAGGTAACTGGGCCAAGAAGATAGCCACTATTTTGGCCATGGGCCTCTTAAAATCACAAGGACCCAGAACAGGAGAGGACCTCTTTGTAAGATCCTACAACACTGGCAAATCACCAACCTCTAGAGCTGGGGGACTGATGGACCGCAGAGGACAGGAGTCCACAGTGTGCACTGTGCTAACAGGAGGGTCACTAAAGGGGGAAATAGCCCCTTTGCTTCCAAGGGAAGTCATGTGATCCAGCAAGTACAGCAACTCGTCCTTGTAGATGACACAACTGATAGAGGAAAAACTAAAAGAGCTAAGAGGCTTTGCCCATAGCCTCAAGTGTAATGCCTGAGGAGCCTGAACTGACCTAAGACAGTTACACAGAGTGAGCTTAATTTTGATTAATCCAAATTTCACTTTGAGTTGGTCTTTAATACTCAAAAGGAAACTATAACCAGAACTATAAAGAGTAATAGGAATATTATATCAAAAATTTGGCTAGATATACAAAGGGGACAACTCAGCCACTAGTACTTCTCTGTTGGGAACAAAAAGCCATACTTATGATAGGTGGGGCAATAGTACTTGAAATATGGGGTGGACTTCAATTCAAGACTCTAATCATACTATCTGGTTAAGAGATACTGACTTATTTGCTACTGAGGGAAGGGCAAGAGCTGGAATAAGACAGCCAGCACCTAACAGTACCCAGTGGCTCTGTGGTACAAATCTGTGACCCTGGTTACCTTTACAGAGGATGGGAAGATGTATATGAGGGTATCCAAGGGCACCAGGGTCTAAGGGTACCAGGTTAAAGCCACAGATCAACCTAAACACCCTGTGCTGAGGCATTGACAGGTCAGATCAGCTTTCCACTGGTACAATTACCTGGCCATTATCTTTATATGGCCCTGAAACAGGGCTTGAGACAGTAACAGGGCACACTGGATCTCTTACTAACTATACACGAAGGAGGTATTTCATCACTAAATTCAGAAGTAAAAATGATAACCAAAAAAAGCCATTCTACAAAGTCAAATGGCCCTAGATATTTTAATAGCAGAACAAGGTGGAACCTGGGCTACTATCAAAAAAATGTGTGTACATTCCAGACAGCTCTGTTCATATGTCCTCTGCACTGCATGATAAGAATTCACAAATCAACAGTGTCAGATCTGCCACATGCTGGAAGGACTGGCTGGTGGGAGGGTTCCCTGGAACAGTTTGGTGGAGGAAGTTCTCATTTATCTATATTAGAGCCACACTGGAATTCTTTCCTGTTGCATGATTCATTATTGTTGGGAACTAATGTCTCATGTGTCCCTGTCCACTTTTTCAGACTCCCAAAAAATGATGGTTCTCCAAAGGATGGAATCTATTATTCATGTGTCTCCTTTAGATCCATCAGGAGCCTTTCAGTCCCTGGCTTGGCAGGACTAACACCCTTCCTCAATATGAAGCAGCCAATAAAGATGGATTCTCAGGTCTTCTGCACTCCCTTAGGAATATATGGGACCAAAGTCTCAGAGGGAAATGAGCAAGGAAGTAAATAGGTAGAAAGGTGACAAGGAAATTGATTTTAAAATTTGTACTTTTAAGAAAAAATCCTGCAGCTTAGGGGCACAAGCCCAATTCCCTCCCCCCCCCCAAAAAAAAAAAAAAAAACCTCGGCAAAACTTGGGTAATTTCCTTTCACTTTAGAATGAGTTTGGCCATTTCCTTTTCACTTGCAAATGGTTGTCCTCTTTCACTCATGAATGAACCACCCTTTAGGAACTTCCTGTATTATCTCACTATATGTGGGCCACACTCTCCTACCCATTAGACAAGCCTAAAACTACAGATTATCAAATTCTACAGATTACCATCACCCAAAACACATAAAACTGTATGTTCCCAACTGTATCATGCCTCATTTCTCTAAGCAACAGCATTCTACTTTTGGCTGGAGTGCATCTTATAGCTACCTCTAATACATCTTTCTCATGTCTCTTTTTAAAAACATAATGAAAATTCATAGGTCTGAGCTATGCTCACTATATAAGAAAGTATGCATCTTTAAAGGTCTGTTGAGGTAGAAGCTAAAATGAAATGGAGAGAAATCTGTTTCTTTTCACACAGGAAGTAAAGAAATAATGTGTATAGATGATTCTTTAAGCCCAATTGTGAAGGAAAGTAGAAAAATAAATAAGGAAAGGTCACAAGAATTTTGACCTTTTAAACATATATTCATGTTTAAATGTAGAAAGAGGGGCCGGGGAGATGGCTCAGTAGAATAAGCACTTCCCTAGCAAGCTCAAGGGTCTGAGTTCAATCCTCGGTTCTGGAAAGAAAAAAAAAAAAATGTAGAAAGAAAAGGAAAATCAGTGGAGAGACATAAGACACAGAGTAAAGCACTGATCAATAAAGACTCCTAGAAGTCAGAAGACCAAGGGATTCACAGAGGTAGGATAATTTAATTTAGAGATGAACAGGAACATTTCTTCCATAAATCGCTGCAGACGTAGACAACTCAGAAGACTGAAAACAAGAAGTTGAGAGAACTGCCACAAGTCAGCTCCTATTTTTCTCTGTAAACAATATAATCAATACCAAATACAGAGGCAAAAGGAAGCCCTAATTGGTGAGGAAAGTGGTAGGCTTTGAAGAAATCGCTCAGAAGATGAGGTAGAAGGCACTGACCAAGGACACAAAGTAAGATTACACACGCATTAACATACTCCTAGATGACTACGAGAACCACGAGTTCACAGCAGCATCAGTCTGGTAACAGTGAGGAGACCTTAGCTATACTCAGCAGCATGGACAGAAGTAAGGCGCAGAAAAGCCATTACTTGAATTCAACTTGAATCTAGGCTCTAGAGGGGATGCGCTGAGCGCAGTTCAATGGTTTTATGAAAAGCTAGAGCAACAGCAGCTCCTGACACAGTAAGCTGTATATACATGCAAAGATCTAGGTTTAGATAAAGACAGATTTATCATTCAGAAGAAAAAGCAAGTACTGTGTAAGGAACAGAATTTGAGCGATAAGGTATGATGTAAAAAGTTAAAAATCCAATCTATCTTATAAATCCCTACAGCCAAGGAGTACAGATCGTAAACTCTGATTCTTAGAAGCCATGCAGGAGGGCACAGAAATTACCCAAAAACTCATGTGAAAAATTGTCAACTTTTAGCCATAAAGGTGTAAAAATTGTTCTTATTTACTGCAAGAGTTATATTTTAAAAACAGAATCTTGAGATAGAATTGAAAACATGTTAATACAAATAGGGGTCACTCATTTTATACCTTTGAAGCTGTTCCTGTATTTGATCTGCAATTTTTACTTTATCCAATAAATTTTGAATTTCAGCTTTTTGGCGATTAATTATTTCCTTGTATTTTGATAATTCATCTTCTGTCCTTAATCGTTCATCTTCTAGACATTTTGTCTATTAAATGATTACAATCAAGTTAAACAGAGAATAGTATTTTCTTGTTCCTTATAAGCTATTACAAATAGCGCTTACATATTAATAATATTAATAATCTAAGCCTAGGGGCCGGGGATATCACTTAGTGGTGTAGCACCTGCCTCACAAGCATGAGATCCTGAGTTCGATACCTAGGACATCCCCTCGCCCCCGCATCTAGGCTTAATTCTAAAGCAGTATTATTTCACATTAAGAAAATATTAGTAGAGGCTGGGGAGATGGCTCAGTAGAATAAGTGCTTGCCTGGCAAGTGCAAAGGTTTGAGTTCAAATCCCTGGTTCCGCAAAAAAAAGAAAAAGAAAATATTAGTTCTAGGGGCCAGCGAGATAGCTCAGCACTGTAAAGCATCTGCTGGGGGCCGGGGAGATGGCTCAATAGAATAAGTGCTTCCCTGGCAAGCACAAGGGTCTGAGTTCAATCCCTAGTTCCACCAGAAAAAAAAAAGCATCTGCTTAGGCAAGCGCACAGGAACTATGATTTGATCCCTGGCACCATGTGCCATGGCAGCCCCACTCCCAGGATGGGCTGGACCAACCACAAAAAAAAAAAAAAAGAAAGAAAATATTTGTCTTATATTTCAAGTTTCTTATGACACAGACATGGGAGTTTTAAATGCCACTTTATAATTCACATTTTCTCATCTGGAAAAATAATGTATCTTCCCTATATACCTCAAATACCTGACATGGAGAACAGAGGAAAATATATGAAAAACACTAAAGTTATTAGGTGATCTCAAATTCAAAGCGGTTACTTGAAAGCTGTTTCAAATAAACAAATGATACATAATAATAGTGCATCACACTCATTCATATTATAAGGGACACTACTCTGCAAATAAAGACTAAAACATGGAGATTCAACTGTCAGAAATTAAAACTGCAGTCACCAAAGATTAAATAGAGAAACAAAAGTTTCCTATTATTTTCTGATAGCTACAGTTCTAAGTTCCAGCTACCTTTCCGACTGACTTGCTGAAAAGACTGTCTTTAGATCAAAGACCCAAGGATAAGTTAAAGGCAACAAATGTGCTATAAATAGGAATGTCTGGTGAACAGGTCAAAGGGGCTAACAAGAAAGGCACTTTCATTTCGACAAAAGTTGATTACATTACTAAGGAATCATTATTCTACTCTTCTGAGCTTTTTAAAATTCCTAAATATCTTTTTTCTACCACTTTAAAAATTAAGAGAACATCCAAAATTACAGTAAGTTTTGATTACTACCTTTGTTCTCAGCGTACGTAGCTCATCCATACCCTCCTTAAAAGTCCTCTTCAGATCTTCTAGTTCCTTTATTTTGGCATGATGCATCTAGAAAAGAAACTGCAAATTATAATGCCCTAAACTACCTCGAAAATGCTCTTTCCAAATGACCTTAAAAGAAAATGGCAATACCTACTCAATCTCTTTTTCTACATTTAATACATCATTTAGGGTACACGAAGCAAAACCACCCACCTCTAGCTGGTCAGATTTTTCTTGCATTTGTTTTTCAAGTTCTCCTTTTGTGACTCTAAGCTTTGCATCAAGTTCATTTGATTTAATTTCTTCTGACTCCTAATGAAAAAAATGTTAGAAAATTATTTCTAAATATGAGTTATTAAAATTTAAAAATATGCAAGGGGAAAAGTTTTGCAATTAAGTATTTTGAAATATATATAGCTCATATATTTAAAATTGAATACTCTGAAAAATTTAAATGTCAATTGTGCATGAACAAGAATAGTTTCTTTTTGAATTTATACATTTCCTCACACTTTGTTTTTCTGATATTCTCTAGAAATTTTATTTTGTTGAACTTTTCTAATAAGATACACTTCAGCTGTAGATACTTTATTCATCAAATCCTTTACACACTTGAAATATTTCAGATCCAGAAACTGAATGAAACCACAGTACCTATTGTTACGATACTTTGTTAACAGTCTATCTGAAAGCCCAAGCATACCTGGTATGTTTTTATCATATCCTGACAGTTTTTTCGTATCTGATCTGCTTCTTCCTTTGCTTGGGTTAACTTTGTTGTTGTTTCTTTAAGTTTATCTTTGGTTTCCTGTATTGACAAAAAGAACCAAAGTTTGCCACAGTGAATGACAAATGGTAAGTGGTGACCACAGAATAGGAAACATTCTTGACCTGGCACTGCAATGAGAGGGTATCACCCGAACAGTAAGATTTCATATTTCTGACAAAAAATAAAATGGTCTGCAGTTAATTGTTAGTCATTAAGTAAAATATTTGATAGTTTTCAGCAAACTACTAGATGTTATTAGCCTAATGAAAGGGGAGCAAAGTGTTAAACAGTTGTTTGCATAAACATAAAAGATATTATTTGGTTCACAGCTGTGGTATTTATTCAAAACTCATCTTTTATTGACTGATGCTACAATTTAGTTTCTATCCCCAGTCTCCTAAAATAGCAATGTTGAAGGTTTCAGAGATTACTGTCATCAAACAAAACATAATTATTTTTTCTCTTTATTCTTACCTGCTCTAGTTCTGACCACCTCATATCGTAAATAGTTTTCTTCTACTTCTGGCAAGACAATATTCTCTTCTTTCTTCCCTTTATTATTTTTTGACTGGGTTCTACTCTGATTTCCAAAGATATAGCCTTTACCCTCAAGCTCTTCTGTGGAGAGCTCCTCCATGGTCCTGGGTCTGGCTATCATACAGATTTCCAGTGAGAGTTCAAGTGACAGAGACTCAGGATGACGTGGATGCTGCGGCTGACTTGCAGTTAGGAAGTTAGGACCCACGCAGAGGAAGGTCACGTGGGAGTAACAGGAGGGCAGGTGTATCTCCTTCCCAGCTCTTCCTTTCTCTCTCTGCCTCCCAACTACCACCATGGGGACCATTTTTCTCCACTGTGCCCTCTGCTCGGCTTCTGGGTTTGACCTCTGGAACATGCACTAAAACTTTTGAAACTGGTAGCCAAGAACCCCTTCTGTAAGTTTTAGCTGTTGGGTATTATGTCTAAGCTATGAGACAGGCCTGGGACAAGATCTAACACAGTTAAATACTTAGCTGTATACTTTGAGTTGCTAGTCTTCAATAATAAACTCATTTTTACTGAAACTGTAACCTGAAATATAGTCACTTGGATATTTTTCAAATGTTTATTTTTCAATACTAAACATTTTTGTTACTACACCATCAATAACTAAAACAGAACCTGGCACATGGTGGGAACTTACTTCATCTACTCAAAATAAAAGTACGAATCACAATGAATGTGTTTAGGTCCACGCACTGTGTGTTTCGTATGATAACTGAGCACCTACTATGCATCAGGCACTGCTCTATGTTCCAGGGAAACAGCAGTATAAGGAACAGTATTAGTTACTTTCCTTGTCACTGGGACACTATTCCTGATACCCACAACTTAGAGGAAAGGTTTATTTTGGCTCCAAGTTTGTAGAGGTCTCAGGCCCTGTCAGCTGACTCCCAAGACAAGAAGGCATGACAAAGGGGCAGGGCAGACAAGAAGCAGAATGAGGGAGGGAGATAAAGGAGGCCCCAGCTCCTAAAAACAAGTCAGCTATGAGGCCCCATCATCCAATCAAAAATCATACCCTCTGGGCACTGAGGCTTCAGGGGGACACTCAGAGATAAACCAAAACAAAATATGACAAGTCCTCTGCCCATATTCTAATGACAAGGTAAATAATAAACAGAACTTAGAAGCAAAAGATTATCAGTACAAGCCTAAGGAATAAAAGTAAACCAAGGGCATGCAAAATGGCGGGGGGGCTCAAGGTGTTACTTGGGTAACACCCGTGAGTTAAGGAAAGTTTCATAAAGGTGATAAGGAAGTAAACACATGAACTGAGGGATCTGACATGATGAGTAAGAAATCAGTGCTTTTGGTTAACTAAAATGATAGAATGTAACTTATTAAGACAAGGAATCAATAGGGAGAAGCAGCACATTATTACTTCAATTTTTGAAATATTAAATTTAAAATGCCTACAAGTCATCTAAGTTGTCAGATGTCAAGTAGTTTATACAAAGCTGAAGTTTTGGCTAGACCTTTTCAATCTGGAAGTTATCAGATGCAGTTTTCTAATGTTACATTTTCAAATACAGAAAGCTTGTCACTTGTAGTCTAATCTAGTATTAATCCTACTCAATGTATTTTTCATCTCAAACACTGCATCAGTTCGGTCTTGTATCTTCCATGTTTCTCCTTGTTTTTGCTTCTACTGCCATGAACATATGGATTCAGGATTTTTTTAAATTTTTTGAGACCGGGTCTCACTGTGTAGTTAATGCTGATTTTTTTTTTTTTTTTTTTTTTTTTTAATGCTCCTGAAACCCCTTCCAATGTGTTCCTCTTTATTCATTTTCAGAGTACAAACTTAAACTTGGATAGGCTGAATTAATCCAACCCACCTCTGGCAGGTTCACTCAACATGCTGTATAAAGTATAACATTCAATTTATTATTTCTTTCTCAAGAGAGTTTTCTTCAGTCCACTAAGACCCAGTTCCCCTTCCATGGGCTTTGGTGGAGGTCGTGGGGCAGCACCAGCAGGTCTAAATCGGGGTGGAGGAGTTCGGTCCTTGCAGGCTTCACGAGATCGATTTCTGACTACTTTGCTGTGAATGGCACAACTCACACAGTAATGCAGCTTCACATACAGCTTGGGAAGCACATAACCGTCGAAGACACTTGCTTTGGAAATGTCCCTGACAGCAGCGGCTTCCACTATGTTCCGAATGACAAACTTCTTAATAGCCTTATCCTTGGGTACGCACCGGGCACAGTTCGTGCAGCGAATAGGCTGCACATGACCACGGCCCTTTTTGGCAAGACTGCTGTTCCTTCTTTTTTTCGTCATCTTGGAAAGGAGGACCCAAAAGAGCTGATGCTGATTTTTAACTATGTAATCCAATCTGGCCTCCATTTGTGGCAATGCTCCTCCATCTGAGGGGTGGGATTACAGGCATGCGCCACCAGCCCAGCTTACAGTAGCAGCTTTTAACATCCTTGCCGATCACAGATACTGGTTTAACAACCTACCTCTTTTACTACTATTTGGATTTACAACCCGTTTTTCTCTTTTTTTCTTTTGTCAAGTTCTGTAGATCTTGTTTATATTGCTTCAATGACTTTATTTTGTACAACATACCTTGTATATACAGTACTATAATTTTTGCTGATTGTTTTGACAGTACTGTAGTTTTATGTTCTCTTATGCATTACAGTACTGAGGTAAGAACTATGAAAATAAAAATAAGTCATCAGGTTGGAGTTTCCTTTGATCATTTCTTTTTCTGAGCCATTTCCCCGGCTCCTCTTTTTCTGAATATTGTAATGTACATACAATTTACCATTCCTCATTTAGCAACTAATCAGCTAATGACCCAGTCACAGGAACAGAACTTGGTCTTTCAATGAGGATTGTTTCTTTTTCTGTATTATGTGTAATTTCTGAAACTGTTCCTACTGATTCTTCCTTTCTGCTCACTATGGGTTATATTTTCCAGCTTCCTTGCAGACTAGTAGCTTTTCATTAGATGCCAAGCGTAATGAATTTAATAATGCTAGGTATTGACATTTTTATAATTATTTAAATGTTTTGGAAATTGCACTAGGACCTAATTAATTTTCACCTGCAACAAGCTTGGGTTTTTAAAGCTCTCAACTGAGGGTCCATAAAACAGCTTACAACAAAGGTAATTAGTCTGCACTATACAAGTAATACCCCTCTGAGAGCTACCTGACGCATTGTGCTTTGAGAGGTCTTTTCAGCTGGTGGAAACACGAACTGTTCCTAGCGCTCATTCCTGTCTCTTCTCTGAAATTCTACAGGCCCTGTGTACTTTGAACTCTGTCTCCTTAATTCAAGGAGACTGTTGGGCTCCCTTTAGGTTCCTCTCCTTGCTCTATAGCCTGGAAATCTCCTGGCATTATACCTCATTTTATCCCCCTCACTCAAACTATTGTCCTATGGCATCTGTTGTCTCAAGTCTGAAGACCTCCATTATACAATTTTCTTTACAATTTTGGGTGTTGCTTTTTGGGGTTCTTTTGTTTTCTAAGGTGGCAGGATATTATTCATAATGAGCCAGGAAACATTTGACAGGATATAGCTATAAGACAGCATGATTAAAGAACAGAACACAGAATATAGGTAAGGGTGGGCTAAAATGAAAAGTCTAAATTAAAGTATACTCTAGGGCTGGGAAGATGGCTCTGCAGTTGAAGCACATGCTTGGCAAGTGCAAAGACCCAAGTCCAATCCTTGGTACACATGCCATGCTGGCACAGGAACTCTGGGCATGCTGTGCCAGCCAGCAAAACTGGGCGTGGTGGCACATGCCTATAATCCCAGCGCTGGGGAAGCCAAGATAGGAGGATTAGTATGAATTGAGCTGCAGGCGGCAACCTAGCGGGGCGGTCTCCGCGCCGGGCTCTAGAACGCGAGGTCCCCGGTTCGCGCCCCCGTCCCGACTCTTTGTATGGGGTCGGGGAGATGGCTCAGTAGGATAGCGCTTGACTGGCAAACACAAGGATCTGAGTTCAATCCCCAGTTCTGCCAAAAAAAAAAAAAAAAAAAAAAAAAAGAATCTGAGTTGCATAATGTGGCCCTATTCCAAATAAATAAATAAATGAAATACAGTGTATTCTAGCTTCTTCTAATCAGTGGTCTAATGAGAAACCAAACTATTAAAAAATGAGACTGTTACTGGTAACATTAACCTTAAGAGAAAAGCATGTGGAATATCAGCCTTGCTCTAGGAGACCTAGTGAAAGGAATGCATCATAAATACACCAGCAATGACCACACTTAGGTCTGCAACACAGACGTATCGGTTTCCGCTGGCCCTAACACCCTGGATTCTCTCTTTAGCTTTCTCTCACAAGAAAATCTGGCAAATACCCACCAAACCACGTTGCTTAACAACCTTAGGTACATCTGCTGCCAGCCAGATCTAGGCTTCCGTAAAATCACCTTACGCTGAGACCAGGCAGCTACAAAGGTAGCATGAGGTACACAACCATGAGAAGGAAGCTTTTCTTTACTTACTACATTCAAAATAAAAGGTTTTTGTTTTTAGGAACTAGGTATTAAAAGTCATTTTAGTTAAGTCTCCAATGAAGTTTTAAGGGAGGGGGGCCATTTCTACCATTTGATGTTGTCCTGGGTGTCCAGTCTACCTTGTTTGGTAACATGCTAGTAACAGAAGCTAATGTTCACGATGGATCTCACAGGACTCTAGTAGCTCTTCCTAATACTTGGTGGGCAGGAGCAAGAAACTGGAAAGAGAACCTAAAAAAATTTTAGTAAGAGCCTCTGGTCTCTTGTCTACCTCTTAGGGAGGTTGTTCAGACTATATAGATGACTAAATCTAAAATCCTTTGAGCTAGAGACCCTGTCACACCTACTAGATAAACACATAAAATAGTTAAGCAGGGGGCCTCTCCAAAATACTCTTCAAAAGCAGTGATTCTGTCTTCCGTAGCTTTTCTATCCTCCATATTATCTAATCCAAGGCTGTGCACATAGCTAAATGCTCACTGATCAAGAAATGCCTTTACTTAAAAGGAACTGGTAAATACCTACCTTCTATACACCAGGCCAATATTGTTTATTTTCACTTTTTAGCAACCTATACCATGTTACCCTATAGAAATCAGTCTTAACCCACCTCTCTAATCTTCTTTCAGAGTATCTCGTTTCATCTGACCTCAAAGCTGCCATTAAGAATCTCTCACTGCCCATTCCTTGAACACACGGGGCTCACGAATCCTAAGCTTTCCACTTTTCAATGCTAGCATTGCAGTGGGTTTTGAGATCCTGTCTCAAGATGATAGATGAAGGTATAACAAAAGTGTCACAGATTTTGATATTAGAAGTAGTATATTCAGATCCTTTTCGGGGGGTGTTTTGAGACAGGATCTCACCATACAGTTCAGGCTGGTTTTGAACTCACTGTGTAGCCCAGGCTGGTCTCAAACTCATAGCGATCATTCTGCCTCAGCTCCCTGAGTCCTGATGTTATAGGCATGTGCCACTATGCCTGCCTTATTCAAATGTTAAAGCACCTCGGGCAGTTAGAAATCATTACTGTCCATATATATTTGGAATTTTAATTCCTCATTCTGAACTTAAAGGAGAACTAAATGTGACAGCCCTGTTGAATTCTAGGGATTTTTGTCTTGTTCCTTTCTCTGCCTTATAATTTTTTCATACAACTGTGATCAGTAGTCAGTTCATTTCATACTTCAGCGGAATACACTGTTCATTTTTATGCTTGACCACTGTCAATATGGACTACCCAGCCAGGTGTAGCTACACATGCATGTAATCTTAGAACTCAGGATTGCCTCAAACTTAGCTACACAGTGTGTGTAAGGACAGACTGAGCTACACAGCAAGACCTTGTCTGAAAAAAAAATGTAT